ATGTTTTAACGACACCATATAATGTAGTATTTTATTGGTCTACATGTGCTAATTTAATCTAGATTGTCAAATTAATTGTAATTTACCTATAAATGAGCTAAAACTATTAGTAATACCATATAAATATTGACATCAAATAAACTCCCCGTTTACTAATAACTAGAGACACTGACTATCAGCATAAAGCAATTTATTGGTTGTCATAGAAATGTTTTATTAAACCATAGAATTTGATGGATTCTGGCTCTTAAGCTCCAGAATTTTCATTCATTTAAGTGAATCTCATTTTCAATTTGTTTAGAGCTTTCATCGCACGTGGAGTTGTCGAGTGACTTAACGATTAAAAGCTTTTTAATCAAAATATGGAGAGCACTGTAAGCATTGATTTTGAATTGATATTAAGTGCACATAAATGAACTGAATTTAATGAAATGGTGTTTCATATGATCTATACGTGTAATACAGCCGACAATCCGTCCGTCCGGGAGCTTTAATCCCGAAAGAGTGGCCGCAAAGACGCAAAAGGCTATCAAAGGGATTGGTGAGCATTGGCTCAAAACAGTATTTCTTTGCAAATAACTTATTTGTAATTATGACAGGAACTGATGAACGGTCTATAATAGAAGTGGTAAGATCATTACAATTTTGTATTTTAATTGTATAGGCAAAACTGATATATTATTTTAGCATGCACAAAAAAGTCATGTCTCAAAATTACAATAATATAAGGAATCGATTTATATTTTTATACGAGGTTTATTTTATTGAATAAAGTATTAATATAACATTAACGTTAAAATATAGGTTGTGATATAGAGAAATAATTCTTATATATTTTTACTTTATATAAAGTTTGTAGATTATCTTAGATATTTTTATACTATAAAATCAATGTCACTGTCATTGTTAGTGAAACTAAATTATTGAGTTGGAGTCAGAAATAATTGTAACTAACATTCATTATGTTCAGTTGACATCACACACCAATTCCCAGAGACAAGACATTAAGTATAAAATCAATGTCACTGTCATTGTTAGTGAAACTAAATTATTGAGTTGGAGTCAGAAATAATTGTAACTAACATTCATTATGTTCAGTTGACATCACACACCAATTCCCAGAGACAAGACATTAAGTCGACGTATAAGACAATGTATGGAAGAGATCTTGAGGAAGACCTTAAGAAAGATTTGGGCGGAAGTTTTGAAGGTATGTAATATAAATGTGTTCACAAAACACTGTCTTTATTACGTTTTGTGTATCTCATAAATTCAGTGAAAATAATCCAATTGATTTAGTTTATAATTAATAAGTTAATTCAAATTTTAATCTTAGACAGTTGTCTCTCTTTACTGGTCTCTCCATATGAATATTTGACAGATTGTCTCTATAATGCTCTACAGGTTTAATTGTCTTTTAATTCTATACATTGCTAATAATAATACTATTTTAAAAATTAAAAATATTGAACATTTTAGAAGGAACTGAATGTGAATTGTATTATCGATATACTTACGACTTGTCATAATTGGGACATAAAAGCAATAAAAGAGAAATTTTTAGAAAGTAATAAATGTTATCATAATTTATATGTGAATTCATAAAATAGTATTTCCTTTAGAATACAACGAGAATTTGGAAAATTTGATTTGCAATAAGTTTTCGGGAGATTTTCAAAGAGTGCTCCGATCTCTGGTCAATGCAAACCGCAATGAGTCCAATGCTGTCGATTCAGACCTAAGTGTAAAAGAGGCTAAAGTCTTGTCCCAAGTATTCGTTGACTAAGTAGTGGTAGACTTTGAAAACCTTAACAATTGTCTCATTGATAGTCAGGCGT